GGAATTGTCTGTATTCACAAGAAAGCTAATGTTGATCATTAAATCAATCATTATAATCAAATATGTGATTGGGAGAGATCAAGAGTTTCCAGGATAAAATGAGCTCATTAAAATCCTGAAATATGTTTTGGATGGTCTGTATTTTTTACCTTCAACTTTGTTTTCATTATTTATATAAACTAACTTTGGAGAACAGGTGACACAGTGTTGAAATTAGTCTCTTTAAAGCATGGTTACATTTTCATATACAAACCTACAAACCATATACAAACATTGCCGGAGTAGCTTGTGTTTATGCTTAAAGCAATAGCACTTAGATTTACTGTATATACTACTTCATAGTGCTTTACAGCTCTCTCTAAGTGGTTTACAGAGTCACCAGTCAGCACCTAACAATCTGGTTCCTCATTTTACCAACCTCAGAAGGATGGAAGGCTGAGTCAACCTTGAGTTGATCAGGATCAACAAATAACTTAATGTTCCAATGATATATTAAATAGAAATCACCTCTTCCTATACTGGTTCTCTGCAAGCTTGAATCTTCTTTTATAAATTTAACTGTCTATTTTTCAGCCATACCAGACAGGGTCACTAAAAACATTCATATAGCCATTCCATGGAAACAAAATTTGGACTTTTGATTTTTCTCTATAATTATACCTAAAGTAGGCACCTATTTTAGACAAATGTATTCTATAATTAATGTTTTCTATTATTGTTGGAGGATTCTTTCAATCTGAATTATTTCAAATCCTAACAGTTTATCCAGAATGGGCCTACTGGAACAGATTGGTATTTCACATCTACCACATGGACAAACCAAGTTATATTGTAATGTTTATAAATTCAAACCTTTTTTTTTCAGTGGTGACTACCGTTGACTGCCTGAATAAGTCCCTGAAATTTCCTTGTCAGGTTTTTGGGGGGAAGTGGTTTGCCATTATCTCTTTCCTAGAACTGAGAGAAAGTGAGTAGCTCAGATTCACTAGAACTTACAGTCTCCTGGTTCCTATCCTGAGGCCTTAACCACTACATTAAACTGGCTCTCCGTCTAATGTTCCATTCATTAATTGCATTCTGAATTTTAGTTTTTAGATTACAGTATGCTCATCAGTGGTGGGTTTCAAAATGTTTTACTATTGGTTCTGTGGGTGTGGCTTGGTGGGTGTGACATGGCTTAGTGGGCGTGGCAGGGGAAGGATATTGTAAAATCTCCATTCCCACCCCACTCCAGGGGAAGGATACTGTAAAATGCCCATTCCCTCCCCAATCCAGGGGAAGGTTACTGCAAAATCCCCATTTCCTCCCGATCAGCTGGGACTTGGGAGGCAAGAGAATAGATGGGGGCAGGGCCAGTCAGAATTTTTACTATCAGTTCTCCGAACTACTCAAAATTTCCGCTACCGGTTCTCCAGAACTGGTCAGAACCTGCTGAAACCCACTTCTGATACTCATACTATGAATAGTGAGAACCACCATTAATTATGATGGTTGCTCTCTTGGTTTGCTTCAACGGTCAAATGATTCTTGCCAGAGAAGAGAATACCAGAAACTAAAAAACCCTAAATCCCAAATTGCATGAGGTGAAAGTAATAAAAGCAAAATTTATTCCCAAACTAAGGAAAATATCTGAGCTACCATATAATACAGATCACAGTATAAACAAACTCGGGCAGTTCACCAAACTGAGAAAACTGTAAAATGTTCTAGGACAGTGAAAAATAAATATTCTAGAACTCCCAAAATGGAGACAATTCAAAATGTAGTTTAAAAATATGAAAATGTCTTTACTTGTAGACAAACCTTCATCCCCAGAAAAAGCAATCAATGTTCACCTGAATTTCAATACTGTATAGATTTTAAAAAGCTAACTATAAAAATGTATGGGTTCATCAGATGTGAATCCTGAAACCAAAAGAATGTCATGATCTTCATTAATATCATATTGGACCTCAACTACTGGTTTAAAATGTCTAGACTTGTATAACTTTGTCTTTGCTCATAGATTGCAGTAACTTTCATCTATAAGAAGTATAGTCTTGTCCAGTTGAATCCTGCTGATGTCATCAACCACCATTGTTGACAAAATGAATTTATTACATCATATCCTTGACTGTTCTTATAATTGGCAAACCCAAGAGTATCTTTTTCTCTTCTCAATTAGGAGTTTTCTCACTTTTTTATCCTATATAAATGCATATTTTGTATTATATAATTTCATGTATAACAATTGGCACGATCAAGAGAACTCTGCTGAACTATTGTCTGAGGCATCTTGGCTCAATCAACGTAGTCCTGTCTCGCCATCAATAACTGACATTTCCCCAATCTTGACAATCCCTTCTTGAAGGTGTGTTTCTTGATGTATTGTAAGAACAACTTCAACTGCATAATTATCCAGTGTTTTCCATATGAAAAAAATAAGACAGGAAGACAGACCAAGAAAAATGCTGCCCTGTCCTCACCAGTATTGATGATACCTCAAATAAATTCCCAGAAAACAATTATCCAAAAAAAAAAAAAATCTTAGAAAACAAATTTCAAATATCTCCCTCCCTCTTAGTATTTTTGTGCAACTCCAATATATGCCTAGCAAAATAAAAACAATTAGGATATTTTAGTTTTCAGGCGGCAATTTCAATGGGCATTTGTAAACTAATGGTTTAGAAAGCTTTCCAAGCTTCTGAACCACTTGAGGCAATTTCCCTCAGTGATATAGCATCCGCATAGCATCACCCAGTCATCACTTAAATGGGATCGCCTTATATACTATTACTTTGGCGCAGTGATGTTTAGATAACTCTCCAAAAATATATAAGTGAAATTTTTTTCAATGCTCTCCTTTTCTATAAAATAAGTATCAGAGACAAAATTGAATTGAATTGATTACTTTTTTTGGCCAAGTGTGATTATACACATAAGGCTTTTGTCTCCAGTGCAGAAGCTCTCATGAAAGTAGAATGCCATGAAAGTAGGCTCTAGCACAAAAATTCTGGCAATTACAGTACATTCCATAAATTCATGCCAGAGATCATAAATTTCCAAAAATTAGACGAATTTGATATCAACCCACTTCAAGTTAGAGACAAAATAAATAAATTCTTTCTATAATCTTTTCTTCCTCTGGATTATTTTTAATTATCTATAAATTAGCTGATTTTATATTAATATTTATATAAAGTGAGTCCCTTAATCTTGGTATCAAAATGATAGTGAAAATAGAAGATTCCCCTAGATTAAATTAAACAAACAGTATTTTTAGTATGAACTTCTTGAACAGCTTGAATGCACGCAGGTTTCATTTGCTTTGTGCATCTGTATGAGATAGGAGGTACACCTTCGGCTTATTTTTCTTGCATGAAATGCAGTAAATTGAAAAAAAGGCTGTTTATAAAAACTCTTCATGTTCAAGAACAAGCTGGTAAAATTGCCTCTGTTTTTTTGTACAAAATAAAAAAGGAAATTGGAGTCTGACTGAAAGTGTTTTATTTTCCTTTATATAATGTCACAACTGAACTCTTCCTTTCTTTATTTATGCAGCACCATAGCTCTCCATTAAAATCATGCCAGTTTGCTCTTCTTTTCACTTGCTGTGAAATGATCGGTCATACTTCTCCATAATCCATCTTGAATCAATCTTGGCCAATAAGTTCTTTTCCATCAACAAGAGGAACATCATTTAGCAAGGACCTTGGAAAGACTGAACCACTAACTCCTTCAGATGAAACAGAGAAAAATAAATGGATGCATTGTAATATGCTAATGGGAATAGGGATGGAAAAGGTGCTAAGACTTCATAGCTTAAGTGGGTTGTTTTTTTTTTTACATTATTGGTAGGAGTAGCAGCAGTAGTAATAGTAATGTTTCATTTTCCTTTTTTAAAGGTATGAAGTAAGAATTAATTATACTAGCAGCACTGCCAACACTCAACAGAATCTTAAATAAAAGCACATATCAAAGCAAAAAAGCAAAGCAAAACAAAACAAAACCAGAATGGTGATACTCAGAGGCCTCAAGTGCTTTGCTATATTAAATAAACAAATTATGCAGGATACATAGATGGTGATAAATCTATAGTTATGAACAAAAGTGAATTGAAATGATCCGTTTTAAATATTTTACTAATACACATCTAAAGGACAATTTTATATTATTCTGTATAATACAGCCAAAAAGCTATGTGCTATGTAAATCACTATCTTTGGGTAAGGAATAAAGATCAAAACTAAGGCTATTGCTAAGAATGTTAATGAGGGATTATTCACAATTATAATCATATGAAAAAACATAAATTTTTGTAATAGAAATAATCCATAGAAAAATAATTAGGGAAGGATATTTATTTGAAACAATTAATAACTCCTGGCTATTTTGTTATAGTTATTGATTGGCTTATTTGCAATTGTCTGAATTAAGAATTATATATCTATATCTATCTATCTATCTATCTACCTATCTATCTATCTATCTATACACATACACAGTGAGAGCTACTAAAATTCTGACAGCTTAAAAATCAAAATATTGTTATGCCATATAGATATATTATTTATTCTAAATAAATAATAAAAAGTCAGGCACTTCTAAAAAGTCAATGATCATTAAAAAGTTTTCTATTAAAATAAACTATAGACATTTTTGTTCTTTTTAAGGCTTACATAATATATTACTATAGATTCTTAAAATATTACAATTTCCTTATTTTTTTTTGTTTAAATAGTCACAAAACTATTTATATTTTTTTAATTGTATATCTTGACTTTTTCTCTATCAACAACCAGACATTGACATAATGCACTCTTTGAAAGGAAAATTGGGCTGTGATCATAAATGCATGAACAAGTAATACAGGCTATTCTTATAATGTTTTTAATCTAATAAGAACCAATAACTTTTTTATAGTTCATCACACAGATCACTGAAGAATTCCTACAACATACACTGCAATAAATTGTGCAAACTGGCCAACTGGCCGGTTCATGGTTAGTGAATGTACTTACCATCCTCAGTTGGTACGTAGATGTTCAGATAAAGGCAGTCTTCATTCTGATCTTGCACATAGGTCATTACAGTATCCAAGTTGGCAGTAAACCAAACTGGTAGCATATCATTAAGCAGTGATCTCTCATCCAGATACTGTGGGCAAACAGCAGCAAATTGTGTGGCATTCCGTATACCAGTCCATGAAGAAGGAGGTTCTGGGGGTTGGAAACGTCTCTCTCCAGTTGGAGGAGAAGCGTAAGGGACTCCCAAATACTGTTCCACAGGACCAAGGATTTCATTGGGCAAAGGTGTTCTTACACCACGGATTTTGCCATAATTTGTAGTTACAATTGGGTATTGTGCTTGTCCCTCAATAAGTGTAAAACGTATTGCTAGGGCAGTTATCCAAAGGAGGAAATTAGAATTCAGCATGACACAAATAGGAGTAAAAATCAAAGACAGCCATAAGAGTCCCACTGGCTTTGACATGGTTTCACATCAGCATTAGCAGGTCCTGAAGACGTTCACAGCCAGGCAGAAAAACAAATTTTGCAGAAAAAGACAGAAACAACAGTGAAAATTAGAAAAGTGTATGAGGTGTATGAGGAAAAGAATAATTTACCAACAAAAATGTAAAGTATTCTTGGTCAAGCAGAGAAAACCCAATTTAAATGTGGTAGGTATCTCAGCAGATTAAACATAGACAGTTCCCAGAAACACAAACAGCAATTGACTTCTTCTGGCTGCAGCCCATCCCTTGATTCTTGTATTCAATGCTGATATCACTTATCCAAGAAGATAAGATGCCCAGATACTTAGAGCCTACTATGCAAATCCATTTGAGTTAATTCCATCTTGATGGAGAACCCTGTCAGGGAAGAAATGGAGAGAAACAAAGAATTATATTTTACTAAAATAGTTCTTTAAAAAAATACAGTTGTATTGTTTTGCCACAATTTTATTCCCTCTATCAATTACTGTGAAATAAGCATCAGGATGCAAGAATAGCTCATTCATGAATCATATTGGAATACTCTATCCCTCTCCAGTAGGTCACTAACAGCCATGCTTTAATAATCATACTAAACATAAGCTACCATGTCCGTTGGAAAAGAAGTGCCATGTACAAAACCTAAATCTAATAATGAAACCCAATGTCATTACCAATTTACTTAAACTTAAAGAAAAGTTGGAAGGAATTCAACAAAACCAAATTTATATAATTAATCTGAGGCATTTTGAATTTGCAGTGAACCTGTAAGGTAGAGTATTTACTCTTTTGTAGTTGAAGGAGTATATAAATACAAACTATACTCCTTGAGCATTAAAAAAAAAACCTGAACGTCTTTAGGATAAAGATTATGCATAAGCATGCATTCTCATAAGCAGAAAAATAAGTACAAAATATTTTTCTATATTTAAACTGACTGTATTTGTCTTTTATTCTGGAAAATCAAACACATAGTTGAACAGTTTTCAGAAATATTGGATGTGAGTCTTCTTTACTTGAAAACATATCAGGACAAGGAGACTTTCCTTTTTTGTGAAATGCATTATTTAATGTTTAACAGGAGCATAGAAACTCTCTTATACCAACTGTATACAGATGGTCCTTGACTTACAATAGTTCATTTAGTGACTGTCCAAAGTTACAATGGCAGTGAAAAAGTGACCTATAACTATTTTTCATACTTATGACTGTTGCAGCATCTCCATGGTAATGGTTTACCATTATAACAGTTGCAGTGTCCCAGGGTCATGTTATCATCTTTTATAATCTTCTGACAAAGTCAAAGAGGAAAGCCAGATTCACTTAACAACTATGTTACTAACTTAACAACTGCAGTGATTCACTTAACAACTGTGGGAAGAAAGGTTGTAAAATGGGGCAAAACTCACTTAACAATTGTCTCACTTAGCAACAGAAATGTGGGGTTCAATTGCGGTCAAAAGTCAAGAACTACTTATAGTTCAGTATGCTAATGAAGCTCTGACAAATATGTAGTCCAGTAACTTAGACTCCTGTTTGTACCATATAGAGAGGATAGGAGTTGCAATGCAAAATATCTCAAGAACTGTCTATATCAGTCATGGACTCTATGAATCCTAATGAAATGAGCTGTCCATGAAATGAAATGTCCATGAAATGACTTTATGATTTTAAATAAAATCTTCTAGTCAGATAAGGGTGCTTCCAGACTCCTCCTCATTTTATACCATTCTAGACTAATGAAACAGCTCTCCTCCTACAAAATCTATAAAAATCTAGCTTGTCTTCTAATAGCTTATTTCCAAAATTCAGGTAAAGAATCTTTGCAGCCCAGTACAACAGTTCAAGGATTAACCTGAAGATTTTTGTATACTTAACATCCTCTCTGCCAACGGTTATTCTATTACTTCTGGGCATCTTATCACTTTTATTGATCCAATGCACATTTTTATATATTGCCCATCCCTCAGCCTGCTATATCTAAAAGTAATTTGAGCCTAATCTTTGCCTGTAAGCAAAATACTGATCTTTTTAATTATATTCTATTTGCAGTAAGAATAAGAAGTGTCAGTCCAAGTAATTTTCTACATCAGAACCTAAACATACAGCAAATGAAATTTCCAGGGGATCTTGAAGAAATAAACACTAAATGTTATCAGGCTAGGTATTTCCAGTTTGTCCCGAGAGTATAGTCTATTTTTAACATGGCTCTTTATATTCACCATTAGCTAGTGGTTTCCACAGAATCCTGATTCGTAGCAAGTAAGCAGAATCAAATTTGCCTTTTTATTAAGGTTGGATAGAGAAAGAACAAACAAAAATTACATGTGAATTTTCATTCATGAAAATATTATTCTTCCTTACAAACAAAATAAAAATAGACTCATTTATACCAAGCCACAGTCCCCCTTCTCATTTCCATTAACCATATTTAAGAGTAGAGCTATCACGACTGTACAAGCTTCAAAAAATGACTCAGAAGTAAATAAACCCAATACATATTTAATGTGGTTTCAAAGCAACTGTAGTTTTTTTTGTTAGCTTATAATCATGTGAGGACCAAATCATTTGTTTCAAACTATTTTCAAAATATGAAAGGCACCAATAATTAATAAGTGTTAATTTATTTCTGCAGAATATATTTTGACATCTGTAAAATGTTTTGACTTTCCATAGATGAGGGAAGTGGAGCAATCTACCTAATATTGCTTCTAGTCCCACCTACTACTACTATGTCATTCTCAACAACAGATTATACCCCAGCTACTCCCTAGGAAAGAATGACCCTTGATTTCATAAGTGTTAGAGAAAAGCTACTTTTACTAGAGATGCCAAGTGCAGCATGAATGAGGCAAGCTCTGAGGAAAAACCATGTGAAAATTGTATATTGAAAGCAATCCCCTCCCCCCTGTGAGAGCAGTCCAATAAGGTCTCATTCTGATGTTTTGGGAACTCAGTGCCTCAGACACGAGTGTAAATTTCTTTCCCAGGACTGGCATCCTTAAAGCTCGGCAGATGGCTCAGTTTGGCACTTCTGGCTCCTGTTAGTGTTCATACTCCCCAATTTCCCATAGCATTCTTTCACATCTCCAGATGTTTCTCCTCCCAGTTGCCCCCTCCCCCCTGGTTATGGCAGTTGCACAATGGCGCAGTCAGTTGACCAGTGTGGTGGAAGCGCACTGGACCCTTTCTCGCTAAAAAGGTTGTTTAGGTCCCAATATTCCCTGGGAATTTTTGGATACTGCCTTGGTTGATTTTGGGCCACTGGTTGAGAATGTTGCCAGCCACGGGCGTTTTGGCTTTGGACCTAGCCAGGGGTTGCTATCTCAACTTGTTTAGCTAGCACATACCACTGGTGGAAAATGCAGGGCGGGCTGTGAGATGCAGGTGTTGCATACATTATCACTGAGCCCATCTTGGAAGCATTCTATTAGGATGTCCTCTGGCCAATTGGTCAGCTGGCACACCAGCTTGCAAAACTCTTGGTTGTACACTGCCAATCCCCTGTGGCTGATTGATGTTTTTGATGTGGGTTCAGGCCTTGTGTTGGGTGAGTGGGTCTTCGATCTGCTTACGCGAGGCCATCATGAATCGGTCTAAGCTTCAGTGTCTGTACATCATCATTGTGGATAGAGACCATCCACTCTGCAGTGGTGCCTTCCAGGACCATGGTCATGCACCAGACCTGAGCTGCTTTGGTGGCCATGTCTACTCTGTACTCCTACTTATAATTCCAGACCTGGGTGAGGAAAAATCTCAGTTGTTTTGGTTCTCCTGCATATTTCAAGGCCAGGGCAGGAAGTCTAGTCTTAGCATCCCTCATCTGGGAAGACAGCCCCCCTCGAGGAAGGGGCTGCACTGCCTGAACAGCTGGTGGCCCAACTGCCTGGGCCAGGCTAGGTCCAGCTGAGACTGCTGCTCCCCCCATTGTGGCCACCTGTGCTGCAATGCTATCTCCTGCCAGCCCTGGTGGGAGTCAAGGGTCTGCTAGATGGGCAAATAGTTATTTGGTCTGCCAGTTCCCAAAGGCATGTCTCAACACCCTTCACACTTGCTCCACCAGGTCTTTTTGTTCATCCAGTTCCCTTGGGAGCTCGTCTTTGCCCTGATCTCCATCAAGCTCCCATCTCCTGGCTCCACGGTGTATGTTACACTGAGGATTTTCTCTTCCATATCTTCCTCCTTCACGCTCAGTGTGAGCAACTACCAGGGCTTCGGGGCCTCCTCACAGATGCTCACATTCCCCAGCCATTCGAGCTCCTCTTTGAGGTGATGCAGTTTGGCGGGGGGGGGGGACTCCACAAGCTCCAGCCTCCTCCAGGCCACTTTCATAGCTTGTCTTCTTTTACTCAGTTCCCTCAGTAGACATCGGTCTCCTGTTTGACTGCTACAGCAGAGCTTCCCTATTTTGAGACTGGCCCCAGCTATTCCCTAAGAAAGAATGATCCTCGATTCCATAGGTGTTAGAAAAAAGGTATTTTACTAGAGATGTTGAGTGCAGCATGGATGAGGCAAGCTCGAGGAAAAACTGCATGAAAACTATATATTAAAAGCAATCCCCAATGTCCAAAATCCTCCCTCCAGTGAGAGTAGTCCAATCAGGTCTCATTCCAATGTTTTGGGAACTCAGTGCCTCAGGTGCCCAGTGAAAATTCCTTTCCCAGGACTGACGCCCTTGAAGGTCGGCAGATGGCTCAGTTTGGCATCTATGGTTCCTGTTATATCCATACTCCCCAATAGCATTCTTTCATAACTCCAGCATGTTTCCCCTCACAGATGCCCCCAACCCCCTGGTGATGGCAGTTGCTTGCAAGCTTCAAAGAAAGTGAAGATGAGCAGCTGACAGCTGGAACAGTTGACTGGACTGAAGCAAAACTAAAAGCTCTATATAAAGAAAGACCAGAAAAAGGATAAAATGAATCATACCTTTCATCGATGCACTGGCATTGACAGCTTCTATGTATCAAGAACCATAGGTAGGTATGGAATGTTACAAGTATATCAAACAGATGAAAAAGAAAGACATCGGAAGAATATCTGAAGAATAATGAAGATGCACTGAAGCTAGTATATCATGAAGACTTATTAAATACAAGAAAGACTTATTAAATACATTTGCTCTTCCTTGGCCTACAAGGAAGAGCAAATGAATAATAGAAAAGAAACATGGCAGGGCAAACTGTTACATGACCAATGCATTAAAAAAAAATAGGCAAAGTAGATAACAAGACATGGCAATGGCTAAGAGCAGGAAAGTTGAAAAAAGAGACAAAGGAGCTAATTCTGCCAGCACAAAACCAACCCTTAAGAACAAATGCATGCAAAGCCAGAATTGAGAAGGCAGCAACAGATAACAAATTCCACTTCTGTAAAGAAGC